CGAGCGAGGCTGACGTACGTGCCCGCCAGAGCGCGCGTCCGGGAGAGTGTGCGGGTGTGTGCGGAGGGCGTGCGCACACGCCTTCGTGGCCGGAGCGACTCTGCAGTGGGCTGGCTGCTCCCGAGCCTCGGTTCCTCAGCCCCAACCTGTCGGCACCGCTTCTGGGAAGCATCTTGGCTCTTTCCCCTTCCCGAGCCTTCCTCTCCATCCTTTCATCCACCCCTCGCCCACCGTACTTTTCCTTGGAATCCCCGGCTGCAGCCAACCACCCAGTCCACCGGTGCAAGCACCCAGGCGGTCTCCAGTCCTTCCCTACACCAACATTTTCCCACCTGTCTTTCTGTGGGGCTCCTGCGTGAGCCGGTCCAAGGCGCCCCCATCCTTGGAAATTGTTTTGTTGGACTGCTCTGCCGAGGCGTGTATACCTCGAGGACTTAATTATTATTTTGATTCTTTTCATTCCCTCCCCTTCTGGGCAACGGAGCAATGAAATTTCCAATCGAGACGCCAAGGAAACAGGTGAACTGGGATCCTAAAGGTTGGTATTTCCTACTTTTGGCAGCCCTTGCCCTGCTTCCGTCTCTTGCCAGAGAGTGATTCCAGGAGTGGGACACTCCTGCTCCCGCCACCGTGTGTCCCGAGCCTGGGAAACGCGCCTGGAACCGCAGCGCGGGTGGGAGGAGGGCGGAGGCAGCTTGGGTTCGGAGCCCGGATCGCGCCTCGCTGTCACATAATCACTGTCCCTTTTGGATTGTCTCGCAATCTATTTAAAGATACACCAAGCCGGCTGTTTGGTTTGAAATTGCGCCAAGTGTCGGTATCTGCTTTTGACTTTGTGCGCCTGTGTGTGTGTGTGTGTGTGTGTGTGTCCTTTGTTTCTGGTGATCTTTGTCTCTCAGGCAGATGGGTGCGGTGCCTACCCCCGGACTACGAGCTGCTCCGCCCGCCCTGGGTGTCCTCAGTGGGAAAGGTTTCCAGGCAGCAAGTGAGGCTCGGATCTAGAAGCAGCCGTCCCAGGGGGTGACCCCTCTCCTAGGGCGCGGAGAATAATGGGGCCCCCGGGGCCTCCGGAGTGAGTCTCCCTTCAGTTTAGTTGCCACACCAGGCTGCTAGTTTGGCTCAGGTCGGAGTAGGGAGGGTGGTGGATTTCCAGATGGGTGGGGCTGGAGAGGGCTAGGGAGGGCCAGGCAGCCCCCCTTCCAGCAGTGCATGGCTTACACGCTTTGGCCAATGTTGGGACCATATTCTCACTTCGCACCCATCTGCGTGTGCTTAGCCTTGGCCATGGTGCCTGAAATTAGGGTAGAGCTGTAAGGCTCCTCGGAGTGATAGGGACCGGGGCAGAACAAGTTGAAAGCGCTGTCCATTCAGGTGTGAGGAGAACGCTAGCCATTTTCCTTCGCTCATCATCTGAAGGTTGAGTTGGGCTAAGCGTTGCCTCTGTGTTTTGGGGCTGAGGTTTGTTTGTTTGGGGGAGTGTGCTTAATGTCCTTGAAGTCCTTCTCCAGACTGGAAACAGTCTTATAAATAAACTTGCTATTTGTCTATTGATTGATTGATTGATATTGGAGATTGAACCTAGGATCTTTGTACTGAGCTACATCCGAGCCCTTCAAAATAATTTTTTATTTGGAGACAATAAATTGTTAAGTTGTCCCGGCTGGACTCAGACTTGCAGTCCTTCTGCCTGGCCTCCCAGAGTGCTGGGCTCACAGGTGTGTGCCACCGCTCCTTGCTTTGGCTGTTCAAGAGTGAGAGAAGAGGTGTTGCCCTTTGAGAATGTTGCAGTGTTTTTTTTTTTTTAAGCATCTCACATACAATCCAAACCTTTTTTTTTTGTCTCTCGTCCTCAGAAATATAGACAATGGCTCTTTTGGGAGATCCCTGCAGGTCATATTTATCAAGTACGTTCTATGTACCACGCATAGTGCTCATCAGAATGAGACAGATAAAAACTCTGCCGTCTTGGAATTTATAGTGAAGGGAGACACATTGTTGATTAATCACAGAACAGAGGCATACACAATTAAAATTTATATATATTTCACGAACATGTAGGTTTTAAGGAAGTATCTAATGGAAGAGATTGAGAAGGACCAAGGGATGTGCGTGGTTGGGAGAGGCTTCCCTGAGATTACACCTGTAGTGAGACTCAGAGTAGAAGTTAACTGAGGAATGAGAAGGGGAGGTGTTTGCAGAAATAAGAGTGGCAAGTGCAAAGGCCCTGAAGCAGAAGGAGCAGGTGTATTTGAGGAATTGAAAAGGAGGCACAGGCTCAGAATGAGGTAGGCTTGTGAGGTGGGAGGAGGAGTGTAGACTCAAAGCCCTGAAGAGCTTCAGGCAGAAGAGTGACTCGATGTGACCCAAGTTCCAAAACAAGTCCTGTGTGTCTCTTGTGGGTATAGGTGGCCAGGCACAGTGGTGCATGGGCCAGGAGGTGGGGATGAGGGAGAAGTGCACAGAGGTAGATGGAGGACGTGAGCTCAGTGGGGTTTGTGTGGATAGAGTGTGGAGTGAAAACATCGCAATGCCCTACACGGCAGCTAGGGCAGAACCACTGTGAGGAAAGCTCAGGGTGCCCGCCTGGGACCTGCTGAGCTGGGCCATCTGGGGGTGTGTCCAGTGGGCATTGGCTGAAGGTCGGGCACATACCCTCCAGGAACCTCTGCAGAGCAGGAACACTGTCACGCTGACTTTGCCACACTGCATATGCAGGTCCCAGGAATAAACTGGTTCATTTTAGTCTGACACAGCTTGGAAAAGCCTACACGTAGCATCTACAGTTACAACACTGGTGCTAAAAATAAGCAGAGCTCAGTAAATAACAGCATTTAACGAGCAAGTGCTGCTCGCCAGGTGTTTTACGTACATTATCTTATAGGTATTTTCACAGTACGTACCTGGTGGCGTTACTGTCTCATTTGATACTGGATTGCCATCGTGACACCAGTGTGTGCTCTGACTTCCTGCATGGTTGTTGTTCTTTTTTTTTTTTTTTTTTTTTTTTTTTTTTTTTTTTT